CTTATCTCAATACCTAGGATTACTTTTAAAATCAATTTTTGCTTGGTTACGAAAGACACTGCCTCTCCACTCGAACGTACATCCCTAGGATTGTTTACAACACTCCATGCTGGAATGGAGATGTGTTTTTCTTCCTAAGGCAAGATGCTGTTATGGCAACTGCGCGGAAAGTGAAATTGTGTTATTCAAAATTATGAACAAAATATGCTTGTTCGTACAAAATGTTCAGTTTTCAACAGAATACACAAATATGGTAGGTTTCATAGAATTCGCGTTCCAGTTCACTGATTGAAAGCGCCATAATTGGTGCGTTAAAGAAAACCTAATTGATTATTATCAACATAACCATCATCATCAACCTGACTACGCCCAATGAGGGCAAAGGCCCCTCTCACGTTCTGTCAATCGACCCTGTTTTGTGCTTTGTGTGGCATTGTTATACCTGGAAACGTTTTATTCCTTCTGTCTCCCTAACTTTCGGCCCCCTCCGCGCACGCAATATGTTGCTGGACCTGTTTTTTCAAGTCCTTGGCGTACCGTGTTTCACGGATTGGATGATGTTAGCCTTCTACAAATAACATGTACTGCACCCGCTGTCAAGAGACATTTTTTGCGCAGCTTAGCCAGTTTTGTAACTCAATACCTTCAAGATCTTTCAGCAAGTCTGATGGTACTTTATCCTTCCCAGCGGCTTTGTCTCTTTGCAATCTCTCTAGGAATTTCTTCACTCCTTGTGTCATTACTGATGAGATACTGATTTTTTTGGGTTATTAGCGCTTGTTACGTTGCCACCACAGTTGTTTTCGTTTCTGTACAGCCCTCTGTAAGACTCCTCCGACATCTCAAGTATGCCATTGATATGATATATGTGACCTTGCCTTCCTTGTCCCTTATTGCATCAAACTAATTTTTGCCTCGGCAAACAGCCTTGATTTCACAACTTTTAAACTTGCGCTCTTCGGAGCATGATGAATTTTCTCCATGTAATACCTTCTTTTGTTGGCAGCCTTGCGCCTATAAATTCACCTTGAAAACTCCACCAGGTCTACTCTGTCTCTCTCATTTGAGGCGTTCACGGTTTGACGTCATTTTTCGTCTCCTGGGATAGTTTTTTAGTGTACTTTCTAAAGAATTTATTCTCGAATTCCGTTCCTCACTGCCTAATGATACCAGTCAGATTATCATTCATTGCGTGAACATCGGTGTACTCCATTAAAGCTGCAAATGTATCCTAAAGCAGAACTCTGAGTTCGTCCTTTTCTTTGAGCAATTGCTTACTGACTGACTTCTTGTATATCAGGTTCAATCTTTGCTTTTTTACGGCTAGGAGAATTCGAACTCTTATGATTCTATGGTAACTGCTTCGGATCTCGTCAATCACTTTTTTATCTTGTACAATTCTTGTGTGTGCACACAGAATGAAGTATATTTCACTTTCATTTTCACGGTTAGGACTTCGCCACGTCTCGTTACGCTTAGCCCGTTCTCTAAAGAAGGTAATCAAGATGCGCAAATTATTACTTTCGGTGAACGCTGCAACTGTCCTCTGGCACTTCTAGAGCCGTTGCCATAATTTTTCATGACGTGGTTTTCAACATGCTTTTTACTTACTTTGGCATTGAAGCTGCGCCCTAGTACAGTATGCCATGTCCTTACCATAAGTTTTTTGATGCTACGTTTTCGCAGAAACGTCCAACCAAATGATTGTGATGCTTTGGTGTTGACGCGTAGGGTTTTAACGCCTTCATTTTGTACCTTTTATTCATCTATGACTTTGTCTTTGACAGCAATGGAGATACATTTTTATACAATGTTTTGCTGAGCCTTACGTTTGTTTTAAGAAAAAGATGTAATACATCGATATTGTTGGTACGAAGCTCTATCTTCCTGAAAGTTGATTGATCGATTTGTGGAGTTTAACGTCCCAAAAACACCATATGATTATGAGAAACGCCGTAGTGGAGGGCTCCGGAAATTTCGACCACCTGAGGTTCTTTAACGTGCGCCCACATCTGAGCACACGGGCCTACAACATTTTCGCCTCCATTGGAAATGCAGCCGCCGCAGCCGGGATTTGATCCCGCGACCTGCGGGTCAGCAGCCGAGTACCTTAACCACAAGACTACCGCGGCGAGGCTATCTTCCTAAAAGTTGCTAATTTTTGCATCACGTCTGGCAGTAATTGATAACGGATCACGTAGCACAAAAATTTGACACAGGACTGACTGGGGCGAAAGGTTGAAGATGAGGGTTTCATATTCTCGGCAATAATTTGTTTGCTGATGTATAAACAACGCCTGTTTCCGAGTTTTTCAAAGACAGCATCATTTAGGCTAGGTAATTTCCTCTTACATTAATTTCATAACTCTTCCCCTAACTGCCGGACATCGCCAATAAGCAAGCCTAACCAATTGGTGCACTGCTGCCCATTGGCGGTGCACAATGTCCACATCGGCTTCAAGTTGTTTAAGTGCCCTATTCTCGATGTACATCGAGGTGTTTACATTTTGCACATCCCTATTAAAGTGTTGTGCTCTACTAAGTTTTTAATTTTAAAAGTTTGATGCTTCTCAGGACACTTTTCATCTTTTAGTGCATGTCAAGCAAAATTACAGCTGTTTTCTTTACGTTTCCCGGATGTTTCTTTGCCCGGAACTTGTTCAGCGGATTTTCAATATACCATAACCGAGTTTGCAGTGCTACACCATTCATTTATAGTAAACATTTGCATGGCCAAATAATAAAAAAAAGTGTTTCAAGATATTCGCTTGCGCACCAGATACCTTTGTAGATACCGTGTAAATAAATTTGGTCATAATGGCGGTTTTTACTACGATAGAACCAATGAATATTCAATAAAAATAATTAAACAATAAGCGTTTTAAGTGCGTGTCATGCCTCCGCTTTATTTCTTGCACACCATGTTAACATTGCTTCATTCGGCACCACCAGTCATCGAATCTCATGGCTTTCAAACAACTAGTAGTAGACCGATACATGCACTGCCAATAGAGTTTCACTTTTATCTTCGCTGATTAACTTGTCTGACTTCTGTGCAGTACAAATTGACAGCGTGATTTTCGTGTGTGTTCGAACACCCATGCGTGAAATGTCGCGTTGAATTTGAACCAACTCTCCCAAACTTAGTTTTGAAAACAAAACTTCCACTCAAGTGCTTCTACTTTAAGAAACCAGAAAATGCATTACAAAAGCTTACATCTTGAGCACTTCGACTATATGGTGGTCTTTAACAACATTTCGAAGGAAAGGTATAATCTTCCTAAATAAAAAATTTTCTCGTAGGCTATCTTTATTAAAACAATAGTTTTCTTTATTTACTGATAACTCAATAATATGGCCTTATGCACCAATTATTCAACTCTGTGATTTCTGAGTAAGCAGCTATGTTACGATTCATTTGATGATATATCCAAGTTATCAGATAAAGCTAGACTGACACATTTAATTCACCCTGTCGCACTGCATTCAATCACCAGTAGGTCTTTTATGAACAGAAATACGTAAACATTGCTGTATTTTAAGGCTATGTATACACATGTGCAATCTGCCTGTTTTAGGCGGCTTAATTGGCGTGTAATATAATAATAGTGGTGTTTTTGCACTTTAATAGCACCATGTGATTATGAAACATGCAGTAGGGGGCACTAGCACTTAATTTCGCCCAAATGGGGTTCTTCGACGTGCACCGAAATCTAAATGCCTGAGCCCCTATTCTTTCACTTTGATCTATCTATCTATCTATCTATCTATCTATCTATCTATCTATCTATCTATCTATCTATCTATCTATCTATCTATCTATCTATCTATCTATCTATCTGTCTATCTATCTATCTATTCATCTATCTATCTATCTATCTAATCTATCTATCTATCTACCTATCTATCTATCCATCTATCTATATTTGAATGCTATCGTGTTGACCTCCTTGGTTTGACGTAGAATAAAATTGGCAAACAGGTCATCAAGTGAATAACGCAGCAACCTTCTGATATGTAAAGTATACCCCGCTATCACGGTCCTTGGTATTCGGGTAAGCACCACATGTAATTCACAATCTGTACATTCTTATGCAGGTAAAATGGACAGCAGAAGACTGAAAAGAAACTGCTTGTGGTAAAAGACAGGAAGACATAGCGTTCGTTATAGTTGTCGATGTCACAGGCGAATGCTAATAAACGGGTTCTAACGACCTGTCGCCATGGGCGCTAGGAGGGGGGAGTGCAAGAAGGGTGCGGCTAATCCCCACCTTGGTATTTTGTATAGTATTTTTTCTATGTAGTGTCAATAAGGTACGCAGTTTGCTTAGCACACTCATGACTCGTACACACTTGTAAAATGGCCTTCAGGATTGCTGGCCAACTTTCGACGTTGTGAATGTCATGTCACAGAAATTTGGTTACCTTTGCTGAGTTCCTCCCCTCCGTTTTTTGCCGATGCCTCCCCTGGAAACACTTTTGTGGACACCCTTCTCTGTAGCCACCAAACACGCAAATGTATTAATTCGCCTGATATCAGGTAATGTGGTGGTGCTTATTCAGTGCAAAAGTGCGCGATCAGCTCCTAAAACGATTTAATAAATATATATGTAGTTATATTACTGCAAAAGTTATAGATTCGCGTTGCATGTTCCCCCAAGTTACAGCCAACAAACACTGATGCCTGATATGCCTCTGATGTGCACATAATGTAGCCACTTTACAGAAACAATTTGATCTACATAGCAAAAATTATTACGTATGCATTTGCTCACTGGCTGCATCAATTAACATTGATTTTTTCACGGGGTGGATCCTGGCGGATAAATGGCAATGTTTACAGAACTAACCAACGTCCTTCTTTCTCTCTCCCAACCTCTAAATCAATCAATCATTAGATCTCGTTACAATATACGTATATATAAACGAGCACAACGTTGACAACGAGGCTTCTCAATCTTTCTTGTCCAAATAACAGTGATTGCTACATAACGCCATACCTGGGCGGCGTGACGTGACATCGGTCGCAAGAAGACATACGGTGAGCACAGATACGAAGAACATTGAGCCTTGCTGCATGAAGCCGTCTTTCGATGTCCTTGTTATGAACAAGGAAGGCTAGGAGAACCGCACACGATCACAACTCAAGTAAGCCCTGGTACCTCATTTGATAACGCGCTCTTTTTATTCTACACTGACAAACATCTATAGGGCAAATGACACGGTTCCGTAGGCGCCCTTTCCACACTATCGAGAGGAGTCTCCCAATCTATGATCTCGAGAATGGCTCACAAAACAGAGCGAGAGTTCAGGCTAGACATGGCGTACAGGTAGTCAATAGCTCGGCTTCGGCTATTGGGGAAAGATGAGAGTGCTTATAATGGAAAGAGTGCTGGCGCGTCACAGACTCGACCACAGAGACATCGATGGTCAAGGGGACGCGCCAGATTCCGGCAAAAACTCGTTTTTATTGAGCTGTGCATGAAACGCCGCTTCACTGGACGTCGCAGTTGCGCAGCAACGCTTGTTGTGCGACTCCACAGACTGGTTCGGTGGCCGTGAATCCGAGTAGGCATCTCGCACACGTGCTTTATTGGCAGACATGCGCGCACGTGTCGGTCGGGTAATACCACCTTGATGACACCCGGCGGCTGACTGCCTTCTTGTTTTTCCTCGTCACGCCTCGGGTGGGATAAACACGCTGCACTTTAGTGGTATTACGGTAACGGTCGCGGAATATTGCAGTGAAGCGTGCAAACACAAAGCTGCCAAGTAAGAAGCTCGTTCAATTCGGCGCTGCACGAACATTCAACTGTGTGATGAATGACTACGAGAAACACATCAATCAATCAATCAATCAATCAATCAATCAATCAATGAAACTTTATTTTCATGAATAGATATATGCAATTACCGGGATTATTTGGACCGATAGCCACCTTTAAAGTAGCTAGTTGACGGTCCAATACAATGTGCAACATAAAAAAGTGTACAGGTCAGCTCTGAGGTAACATCAAAAAAAAAAAACAATCATATGATACAGATAACTCAGTAATACATTTTTTTTCCTGCAGATATGCATACTTATTAGCTTGCAGCTAGTTTCTATACATAGGCACTTATTAAAAAATACAATGAAAATCGAATCAAACACACACATGCTTACTTGTCTTGACTCCACAGAAAAAATGATTTACATGCCATGCTGAAATTACGTGCCGTTTTAATCTCTAGGGGGACCGTGTTCCATATTTTTGTTCTCATTAAACTGTATCAGTCTTTCTCCGTAAACATTAAAACATTTGGGCAGATTGAAATTACCATTCGAAGCATGTCGCGTATTGCGTTTAGGAATTGAAAAAAGATCAGCAGGCAAAGGTGAATTTCTAATAATTATGTTATTTACTGAAACGGCAATTTTGTAGTCACGCAACATCGGAACCGAGAGAATGCGTTGTGATTGGAAAATATTACTTACTGATTCACCTTGGCTTATGATTTTCAGTGTACGCTTTTGAAGTCGTTCAAGAGTTTTTAGATAACTGTTGTACGTCACACCCCACGATTCCAGACAGTAACCTATGTGACAATGACACAATGAAAAGTAGAGTGTGCGAAGTATAGCTTGTGGAAAATATTGGCGAGCTTTTATTAGAGAATAGCAGCCATAGGCTACCTTTGCGCACACACTCTGTACTTGCTCATGCCAGTGTAAATGTTCATCAAAGTGACGCCTAAATATTTAAAACAAGAAACTTGTTGAATAGGAGCGTTGTTTATTGTTAGGTTAAGAGATTCAGCGTCAATATGTTTCCTACGAGAGTGAAACACCATGTACTTTGTTTTAGTACAGTTAACAGTCAGCTGATTCCTGGCAAACCATTCCGAAATGTTCGATAAATCGGTCATCGCGTCATTTTGTAAATCTGCTAAGGAGTGTCCTGTGAAAACTAAAACAGTGTCGTCCGTGTACATCAGTGCCCTTGACCTCTGTAGAGATCGCGGGACATTATTAATATAAAGAGAGAACAATATAGGGCCCAAAACTGAACCCTGTGGCACCCCGCATTTAATATAACCGTAAGATGACTTGATGTCACCAATGACGACCTTTTGTTTGCGTGCCGATAAATAACTAGAAAAAAAATCAAGCGAGTTACCTTTTATCCCATAGGAATGCATTTTTTCCAGTAAAATGGAATGACTAATAGCATCAAATGCCTTTCGTATGTCTAAAAATACTGCCATTGCTATGTTGTTTTTATGTAGCGCGGAATTAATATATTGCGTAAGCATCGAAACAGCAGTTGAAGTGGACCTGTTTGCAACAAAGCCGTGTTGCTGGGGACAAAGTATATTCTGTTCACCCAGGAAGCGTCTTAATTGCGACGAAATGAGTTTTTCAAGCGTAGTGTTAATACTACTCAGGACAGATATTGGTCTGTAGCTGTCCGGAAGATTCCGATCACCAGATTTGTACACTGGTATTACTTTGGCGGTCTTAAGTATACTAGGATAAGTTTTAGAGGAAAATGCATGATTAAATATATGGCATAAGGGACCACACAAAACATCAATATTCTCCTTTAAAATCCTTGATGATATGGCGTCATGGCCAGCTGCCTTGTTCCCTGGTAACTTATTAATTACTTGTCGGATGTCATCCTCAGTTACATCACATAGATCGAAATTATTGGTAACAGTACAGGGTGCATTTAAATTCGGCATATGAGCAGGGAACTTCCTCGTAAGGCTGAGACCAATATTAGTAAAGTAATCGTTAAAGTTGTCGGCCACTTCACGAGTTGGATTATCAGGTATAATGCGTTCTTTGCTACCCATGCCAGTGACGTCTTTAACAATCTGCCATATCTTCTTCGTGTTACCATCATTTTCTTTCACTAGGTTGGTATAGTAGCACTTCTTGGATTTTCTTATCATTGCTACTGACTTATTTCTGTAAAGCTTAAAATTTTGATGGTAGTATTCATTGCTCCTGTTATTTTTCCATTTGTCGTAGTAAGAATCTTTCAGCTTCAAAACCTCAAGTATATTTCTATTCATCCATGGACATATGGCATGGTCATAATTTCGGCGCGAACAGCTACGCGTACATCGTTCAATGACATCCACAATGCATTTTGCAATGTTATCACACTCGACGTCCACGTCTTCATCACAGAGGGCATCAAAATTCGTACCTTGTAGTAGTTTTTGCACATCGCTATGTCCTATAGTTACTCGAGGAATGTGATATAGCTGTGCACTCCATGAGACATATGACGTTTGTAAAATACCATTAGAACTTGGGTAGGCAACCATTACAGCGCCTTCTCGCTTTCAGCATCAGTTGCACTTGCTAAGCGGCGCTATCGTGCACGTTTATTTGCCAGATAACTGTGTTACGTATACACGTTTTATATACTGCTGTGTGTATATTAGCTGTACGTTACTGAATAAAAAAATGCGATTCCGAATTTTAGCGATACCTTGGGTAGTCACACTGCCCTTCTGTGGTGCGCTTCTCAGAATTTCCAGCAAATGCGTGCGACGCCGCGCGCGTCACACAGGCTCATCCTGCCATACGCCATCAATGCCACAACAATTTTCAAAGTTGCAGCAAGACTCTCTGGTGGGCAGAGCTAAGCAATTTCAACGACATCGGAAGAAGTCGCAGTCGGCTAGCTGGAATCGTGATATCTTGCACTTCTCCTTGCATATCCAGCTTTCAGAGGATGGATGGATGGATGGATATGGCTGTACCCTTTAGATCGGGCGGTGGCTAGCGCCACCAAGCCGTAATACCTAATGAACCAAAAACTATATTTATTTTTTTTCCTTAAAAAGTGAGTTTGAGGATTCGTACTTTGCAGTGAAGAGTTTAATTTTCACTCGTGTCTTGACTTTAGCCACCAATCAGATAACCTCCTTCTGGGTAAGTCTACCCGCTTAAAGTTTATTTTGCTCTCCCGGTCCATAAACCCCAGTGCTTTGAAAAACTCTGCGCCATCATCCTGAACTATAGGGTGAAGCCCTTTACAGAACATTATCAAGAGTTCGGCAGTTTCTTCTTCCTCTCCACACGCACTGCATACTGTGTCTACCCCTTCGTATTTGGCTCGATATGTCTTGGTTCGCAGTACTCCCGTCCTGGCCTCAAACAGTAGAGAACTACCCCGAGTATTATCATAGATCCTTTCCTTGGCAATTTCCTGCTTAAAAGTTCGATAGATCTCTAGTGCGGACTTCTTAATCATGCCCATTCTCCACATGCCAGTCTCCGATTCTTTCACTTTCTTCTTAACCGATAGTTCTTTTTGGTTTGGCCACCTGCTGTTTTCTAAGTATTTACCAGTCAAATTCCTGGTTCGCTTCCTCCATTCGGTATCGACATTCTTCATGTACAAGTAGCTCAAAACCTTCCTAGCCCAACGCTCTTCCCCCATTTCTCTCAATCATTTCTCAAACTTTATCTTGCTGCTAGCTTCCCTGCCCTCAAATGATGTCCATCCCATATCACCTTGTACTCCCTGATTTGGTGTATTCCCGTGAGCTCCTAAAGCAAGCCTACCTATTCCACGTTGCTTAATTTCTAATCTTGCTTGAACTTCTGATCTCATGCACAAGACCGCATTGCCGAACGTCAGCCCAGGAACCATGACCCCTTTCCATATTCCTCTCACAACATCATACCTATTGTAATTCCACAGTGCTTTATTTTTCATGACTGCTGCATTCCTGTTACCTTAGTCGTCACGTATATTTCGTTGTTCCCTCAGATACTCGGTCCCATTGCTTATCCATACGCCCAGATATTGTATTTATCTGTTATCTCTAGCGTGACCTCCTGTATTCTAAGCTCACTACCTTCGTTGTCATTGAAAATCATGACTGCTGATTTTCCTTACTGAATCTAAAATCTAACCTATCTCCCTCACTACCGCAGATGTCCATCAATCTCTGCAAATCTTCCTTGTTGTTGGCCATTAGCACTATATCATCTGCGTACATTAATGCTGGTAGTGCCTGATCAATAAGTTTTCCTTGTTTGACTAAAGAGAGGTTGAAGCCCAGTCCACTTCCCTCTAATTTTGCCTCTAATCCTTGTAGGTACATCATGAATAATAAGGGTGATAGGGGGCACCCCTGCCTAAGCCCCCGTTTTACCTCTGCAGGCTTGGATACCTGTTTTTCCCACTTTATAACTACCTTGTTACCTTTATAGATACCTTTTAAAAGATTAGTGACTACATGTTTCACGCCTAGTGTGTCCAGTATTCCCCACAATTCCTCTTGAACCACGCTATCCTACGCTCCCTTGATA